AGGTAAGAGGATCACTCGAGCCCAAGAGTTGGAGGTTGCTATAAGTCATGACACCACAACACTCTACTCAGGGTGACAGCTTGAGACTCTGTTTCAAAAAATAAAATTAAATAAAAGGTTGGAAACCACCCAACTGTCCAGCAACCAATGAATGAATAAACAAAATGTGGACTCACCACCCGTAGGACATGGTTACAGCACCAGCCACATACATCAAGGCTGGTGGGTTCAAATCCAGCCCAGGCCAGGTAACAAAAATGACAATGGCAACAAAAAATAGCCGGGCATTGTGGCAGGTGCCTGTAGTCCCAGCTACTTAGGAAATTGAGGCAAGAGAATCGCTTAAGCCCAAGAGTTTGAGGTTGCTGTGAGCTGTGATGCCACAGCACTCTACTGAGGGTGACATAGTGAGACTCTGTATACATATATTATAGCCAGGCATGTGGGCACCTGTAGTCCCAGCTACTCAGGAAGCTAAGTCAAGAAGATCACCTGAGCCCAGGAGTCTGAGTTTGCTGTGAACTGTGACACCACAGCACTCTACCAGGGGAGAGAGCAAGACTCTGGCTCAAAAAAATAAAAACACTGACAACGCCCTTCCTGAACGAGTCTTACCAGTGATCCACTGCCGTCTGCCCCATCATTTTAACTCCTGATCACAACACCCAGCTCCACAGGAAGGGAGGGAGCACATGTGTGTTCACAGCACAGCAAGCAAGGAAAAGCCCCTCCACAAAGAAGAGCGGAGCAACTCAGTCCGAGCACAAAGAGGTCTCACTGTGGCCTTTGCTTTTCCTACAAACTAGACTGTGATGCTCACCAGCTCAAAAATGCATGAAGTGCTCCAGAATGTGTCAGGAGCCCTAGCTAGAGCTGGCCCTGCCCGGGAAGCACCCACCAGAGTCAGCCCCAGTCTTCCCAGCCCATCCTAACACAATTGGCCTCAGACCGTCTCCAGCTCCCACAGGCACTTCCCTGAAGGGGTGGGAACCTACAGTTTCAGGGCCACACATGGCCTTTTGGATCCGTAGTACAGCATTTCTATGCAAAAACTGAATCCAAATTTCACATAAAAATCCTTTTAACAGAAATATTTATTCTGTGAAGTTGAGGTTTGGTTGGGATTTGACCCTATCCTGGCATCCACATCTCAGAGGCCTCATCTAACCCTATTCAAACATTAGTTATTGGATGTCACAGGACAAAGCAGAGCAGAAAGCTCCATGAATCTGTCCCTCCATTCAGAGAACAACCAAGATGGCAAAAACTGACAGAATCAACTTTTTCAGAAGTCTGGATTTTATAGCAAATGGGGGAGTGCTCAATGAAGAAAGAAATTTCATTTCAGCCCTTAAGGAAGTTGGTTAGGTCATGGCTAACTGCTGTGATGAAAGAAAAGAGACTTCAATAACCAAACACAACAAGAAATAGAGTCTCTGCAAAAACAGTCCAGAAAAGCCCCTAACAGACATGACCATAGCCTTCAATAAGCAATAAAGGG